ACAGGTGTTGTCAAATGCCCAGTCACACAAGGCGAGCATTTGATTTTGTTGCTAGGTTTCTAATCGACTTGACAACTTGCATGATCTTCCCTGTCTGGCGATGAATGTGTCATAGAGACAAATTGCAGTGTGTGGCAAAGTTCCCATGCCTGACTTCTCCCCACAATTATAGTGAGGTGGTGGGTTGGGGCTATAAGCAAGGTGTTAAAGTCCAGAACTGTAAAGTAATATCTCAAAGCAATTTTCAAGCAAACAGTGTGGATGTGTTTGAAGAAGTGTTAGCATGCCAACAACCTACTGACTTTACAACCCTGTGTAAAATAAGTTGACTGACCACTCTGCAATGCAGCTGACTTTGTTAGTGAAACATTCTCTGAGAGACTTTCAAGATTTTGTTCAATGTTATCTTTTATTGCATGTAAACCATATTCTCTTCACTTAGCCTCCACAAGACTTTTCCATGCATTACATGTGGCCGCTGTGTTGTAAGGGTGTGTTCCTCTTAACAGGTGGGGAAACTGTGAGGTCCATATTAAAATCCAATCTACCAACACTCCCTCATGATGAACACACCCACAACTCTACTGTATGAGAAAGCCAAAACAAACACATAGGGTGTGGTTGTGTGTCTAAAGGCTTCAAGTTTCTCTTTTGTGTGAGTTGGGTATTATTCATTATGGTCAATGAAAAGGTTGATTATACTCATTAATATCTGATAGGACTTTTGGTTATCTGAATTTTCTGAACTTTGCAATAATGAAACATGGATAAAGTGTGCCTCAATGTTTTATTTTTCGAAGTTTAAACTTTTTTAGGTGCCTACAATATGTTTAGCTTTGGCCCTGCTTACTTTTCCCTGTCGCAACTTCTGTCGGTTTCTCCTGTGGGCGTGCCAACCGCAACATACATACATAATACACTGACTTAGGAGAAGCACAAACGCTTTTCTAAAAGTCTGAACTATTCCTACATTGAATTGAAAAGAAACTTGACAAAGAATTAGGAGGTAGAAGAAAAGTGATGCCCTTTATATTATAATTTAGGTTTTCTGATAACTATTGGAAGAAGAAATTGTATATATTTATACTTATCTGCTAAATTAGCTAATATGCTCTTCCAAATGAATTATTGAATGGGAAAAACTCCCAATTGTACAGAACCTATATACCTATAGGTAAAAAATGGTACTGTAAGCTTTATTAATATGTTTGAAAAACATGTTTGAAAAAGACATGAAAAAAGACAGCATTTTACTTTTAATCAGATTGTTCAAATACTTTATAGGTTTATCTGTTTCTCAACTGGTGTCACACTGTCAGTGACCGTGTCAGTGATGATGTTTGCAAGGATTAATCACTTTCGGACTTTCACAACCAGTGGCTTATTTTTACAAGAATGTGCTCCACCCAAAGACAATGCACATCAGATATGAAGAGGTGTTGCAAAAGATCTCATGTTCTCAGGAATTTTTAAATAAAACTTTACAGTATATACGGTAATGCACTTGTGGTTAGAAATATGTAGTGATATTATATGATTTAGCTATTGATTTAGCTGTGGATAATGCATTAACATGTTTAGTTAAGTATGGTATCCAAACAACTGCATTTAAACAAACAAAAGTGAAAAGTGAATTAACCCCAGGAGACATAGGACGCCGAAGCTGTTCAACAGGTTTTAGCATCCAGAGCTGTTAAGAGAAGAAGGGGAGAGAAAGAGAAAGTTATCATCACAGTGAGTAAAAGTCAGATGTGGAGTTCACTTTCAGTCAGTAAATACCTTCACCCCTTTGGGTGTGCAGAAATTAGCGACCTTAAAACCAATCTGTTAGGTATTGTCCACTTTTACAACAACACATTCTTTGGAAAACTAAAAAGGAGCATGCGATACAAGTTTCAAGCGAAAAGCATAGAATTATAAACAGACTAGGCTATGAGGGCTGGGCAACAGCTATATCCAACTGTTTGTGTTTGTATTAATTAAGGTTCTTCATCAAGTGCATTGCATTCACTGAAAACAGACTTCTTGACGTTGACTGGAGAGCCCATTCTGACATCCTGTAATTTACTGTTTATCTTAGCAATAGTGCAATATGTACTGCCAAAAAAGGTGGATGGCAACCATCTGTACTATGAGTAGGTGTGGAAGGATGCCAGAACTAGATGGTGAAATATATGTGTGTGTGTGTGTGTGTGTGTGTGTGTGTGTGTGTGTGTGTGTGAGTGTTTGTGTGTGTGTGTGAGTGAGTGAGTCTGTTTTTAAATCTGTACACACTTCAGAATATTTATATGCCTTTTTGTATTGTGCATACGTCTGTTACAATGCACACAATCTTGACGTGACAAATTAGTTATTTTCCTGGAGTATTTGTACATGCTAGACAAATGCTTTAAGATAATTCACATTCCCACAAGAAATAATGCAAACACATTAACAGATGGACGCAGCATTGTTACAGACTGCTTCAACTTGCCCTCAGCCGGCCCTTCCTACTGATGCCACATTTTCCTTTTTTTCTACCAAAGATAAATAAACCTCTGTTTAAACATGTATACTATTATCTGGCAACATAATCTTTTAACTTGGCGATGGAGGTATTTCAAGTTGAGCTGCTTTAGGTTGTTCAGACTTGACCAGGGTTGAGTTCTAATTTATAAAAACAGCAATGACCGATTACTTTTTAAACAAGCACAAACAAAGCTAGAAACAATTGTGATCTGTTCGGACCTTTTTTCATCTTATATTTTTTCTGGATTTCCATCTGTGCTGCTCCAGTGAAAACTAATCACTCTTTATCCATGTTTATTGAACTTCTCAATAGTGAGACTGTTTGGGCCGGCTGACGGGGCCTCACCCTGCATACCCCTCGTCATTCTGTGGTTGTGATTTATTGGCACTAAAATATGTGCATTGAGTATTAGTGTTAAAATCTGGCACAGCACGAGAAAGCAGTGTGAGAGGTAAGGGTGTCTTCATGTGCGTGCGTGGGTGGTTATTGATGAAATAACTTTCACACAATTCTCAGGTAAGTAAGTAAGTTAGTCAGTGGCAAAATGAGCACATCATTTTTTTTTCGAAATAGCTCTGGGTCAGCAGACATTGGAGCTTTTGAGTCAAGTTCTTCACACCATGGTAGAAATTAAAGGCATGTCCATGTGAAAAGTTGGGGAAGAATGAAAAAGAATGCAGGCCTCACTAAACCGAAGATGCAGAGGACACCAACGGGTCAGGATATGCCTGAGTATGGGAAAGCTTGTTATGGGAGAAAACAGTTACTACATTTGTTTTGCACCTCAGTAATTCATGTGCAAGATTGTTTTTGCTAAGTCTGCTGGGCCAAAACAAAACCCATTACACTGTAAGCCTGAAGCCTGGAAACTGTGTGGTAACTTTCTGGCATGTGATGAGAAATACCAGAGCCTAAGCCCTTTGGTTTGATAACATTTTATAATACTTTATGCTTGTAGTGTAGCCCTTAGTTTGCATTAATCCATTCTTTACTGTCTCATGTCGACGAGAGTAATACTAATCAATGCATATGGCTTACAATGTCCAGAAGAAAGTTTAAAATCTGAATGTAAAGAGGCAAAACAATTGTTCTTCTGGAGTGCATAGACATTCAAGACAAATAAAATTCTGGATTAATATCTGTAAAATGCATTAGTTGCTTCTATGGCCGCAAATAACAAATATGGGATAATAGTTTGTTTCTGTTTTTGGTACATGTTTCATGTAGATGATTTACAAAGATTCTACAGGTTCTACTTGCTTCATTGCCTATATACAGAAAAATAAGACTGAGGTTTAATTTAGCATCAATTATAACAAATAAAACAAACAAATCATTACTTGGCTAATAGTAGCTATACCACCGTGGATTCAAAATTGTGTTTACATAAAACTACACAAGTGTTATTAGTCGCAGTAAAACATAGCAATTAAAAGTACAAGGACTCTTTATTCAGAATAGCTTTTAAGAGATAGCCTATTTTTAGTATTATATGTCCAGATTATATTTGTGCATGCCTTAACAAGTACAAAGCATTTCGATATTTGTAGGCGAATTAGGTGTTGCAAACTTTGGGCAGGTTATTTAATAATGAACACTGAAAGTGAAATGTACTAGTTGTAAACAGAACAATGCATTCTTCTAAGATATAGTGGAAGGAAGAGTACAATGTAAGAAAGTGAAAGGTTGGTTTAGCAAAAACTCTTTAAATGGGCAGTATTGAGGACAAAAATACTAATAGATACTATGTTTTAAATGTTCAGCTACATTTAACTAATGTTACAAACTACTGTAAGCATGTGACAACCAATGTGTGGGAGTGCAGGGAGAGTGTTTTCTTAACGCTGAAATGTGTGAGCTGCACCCATTAAATGTTTTACTGATATGAGATATTACATCAGTGACGCTTTTGAGTTCTTCTGCACTTTTTTGAGAATGTTTTTAAAATATATGCAATGTACCCTGCCTGTTTTAATAATGTATGATCAGTGGTAAAAACGTTAACTCAACATTGATTATGAAAATGTGATGTGTGTACATGGTTTATAGATCAAGATAAGATCCCCATCTTTCCTTTTTCAATGATTATTTTTTCCATCCAGAACTTAAACTGACAGAGAATGACTTATATGCAAATGTAATCATCCCAAAGGTGAAATACATTTTAAACACTTCTTAATATTAATCATGCAGTATGTTGTATCTTTATTTTACAAATCCACTACTAAGCAGGCTACAGGGGATACACACTCAAAGAGGCTCTTTTTCCTTACACAATAACATTCACTTCACTTCGCACTCTTCGCTTTCAGCCTGTCCCAGGGCAGGGTGTGTCACGCCTTATCTTTCTAAAATTCCTCTCTACCTGTTTTACAGGATTGGCGTGTAGGCTGTGTCGGAGGGGAGGTTGGACAGCAAAAGTGAGAGTCCATGTTAGAGCGGCCGAAAGGATCCTCCCCCTCTCAGAGTGCAGGCATAAAAGCCGGCAGAGCTCACAGTCAGACACTCAGAGGAACTGCTCTCCCTTTGAAGACTGCTCATCATCTGTTCTCCTCTTGTCAGAGTAACCGACCTCCAACACTGCAAACATGATGTCTTCCAGGAAGTCATACTCAGTCTCCGGCTCTGGTGCCAGCTCGAGGAGGTCCATTGTGCCATCCTCCTACTCTGTACAAAGATCCAGTTTTGGATCAGGTGCAGGTTTTAGTGCTGGAGCAGCTGGCTCAGGTTATGGTGGAGGTTTCAATTCAGCTAGTGCTGGCGGTTATGGTGGAGGTTTCAATTCAGCTAGTGCTGGCGGTTATGGTGGAGGTTTCAGTTCAGCTAGTGCTGGCGGTTATGGCGGCCTTCGTGCCAGCCAAGCAGGAGGCCTCATGTGCGCACCGATCACAGCCGTCACAGTCAACCAGAGCCTGCTGACCCCCCTGAACCTTTCAATTGACCCCAACATCCAGACTGTCCGCACCCATGAGAAGGAGCAGATCAAGACCCTCAACAACCGCTTCGCCTCCTTCATCGACAAGGTTTGTTCCTGTGCTCTCTGCTTGTGACTGTCTTATGTCAAATGTACTCTAGGCTTCAGTGTCCACTACCAATGAGCAGTTTGCTATATTGACTTCTAGCAGCTTTGAAGAGTGCAATTTGTTTGCTTCTTTGATCTCATTGAAAAGAAAAAACTAGAAAGGGAAAACTATTCTGTTAAGTATAGCAAAGGCAATCTGCCAAATTCAAAGCTGACAAAGTAAGACAGCTGTCTTCTCTCTGTATTGTATCTGTTAATTATTTACACCTTCTGGGATTAGAAATGCTGTAAAACTCTCAAAGTATGCAGCTGATTGTGACCCCGTCTCACACTGGTAACTACATTCATAATCTACCTAAGGTGTCTGCCCACTATCTAAACATGGGTGGGGATTATATTGCAGTGACCTAAAATATGCATCCATCTGAACAATGCCGTTCATAGTCTAAAGTCTGTTATTTGCACATCGCACCTCTTACCTGGTTGTTATGGGCAACAAGAACGCAAAGAGCAGGGCAATGAATCAACTTTCACTTGTCTTTTATGATACTATCACAAGTCTGTGTTAATATTTACATGCAAGCTTTATGGGGATTTTTCTTGAAGAGTGAGACTCTTAACACAAAAAAAAAGTGGACTCAAGAGCGCTCATCCCATAATACTCCACTGCTTTGTCTTCCTTATCTGCCACACCTTGTAAGGCCCTATCGACTGTGTGGCCTTCAAAGCTCATCTGAGTATGCAGGATGACTCATAGGCAAATATACAATAGGTGAAACTCTTAAAGCCACATACACAGGAAATGTGTGGATAGGATGTATTATACCTTTTGTTTTATGAAGGAATAATTCAAGATGTCTGTTCAATGCGCATTAAAAGGCACAACTGATCCCTTTAACATCTTTTAGGTTTCAATTTGCTTCATGTAAAGATATGCAATCTTAACATGTCTTCTACAATTGTTGCGACAAGGGTGTGGCAATTCTGATATGTAGCTATCTACCTTATCATGTATAATAAAGGTGAAGCCTCTTCGAATGTGATACCACAATCAAACATCCTTTTTCCACTGATCCCTCTTATTACAAAGGATATTTTTATTTGTTTCATCACTAGATCATATTTAGAAATACATTTATAGAAAATGCTTTATGAACAACATCTGACAATATCCCCTGTTTTTTTGCCTCCATAGGTCAGGTTCCTGGAACAGCAGAACAAGATGCTGGAGACCAAATGGAGCCTCTTGCAGGACCAGACCACAACCCGCTCCAACATCGATAGCATGTTCGAGGCTTACATTTCCAACCTGCGCAGACAGCACGACGGACTGGGCAATGAGAAGGCCAAGCTGGAGGGAGAGCTGAGGAACATGCAGGGTCTGGTTGAGGACTTCAAGAATAAGTGAGTGCTTGTATGACATGGTCACTAACTATTACAGATTGTGAAAATGGAATGGATGTACTAAAATGTTGCCATCCAACAGGTATGAAGATGAAATCAACAAACGTGCAGCTGCAGAGAACGAGTTTGTGCTCTTGAAGAAGGTGCATATACATCAAATATACATACATTATTCTGAAATCCTGGTGTTAACAACAAAGTGGCAAATTATAACACTTTCTGTTC